TATATATATATATATCTTATATAAACGTAAGTATTGCTTTACAGCAAATAATATAAAGAAGCGTCGGACCCGGCCGGGACCCGATCTCTCCTCTCCTTTCTGATTCTTTCTCTCTATTGCTTTTCCTTTGACCATGAGACACAGCTCCTCTCTGGAATAGTACATAGTCACGGAGCTTTCTTCTTGTACAGGAATGTAATACTACATTGAACTGTGGATGAACCAAGTACTGTACTGAGCTGATTTCTGAATATTCAGATGTGACTTTATAAATCGGGTTATATGCCTATGATACGGTGTAGTCCGTTTTATTATGGGGTCTGTAGACTTTGTATACTTACCTCGTGATCACTCACTGTATTTTGACGCTTTTTCAGTCAATAAAGAATTTAAAAAAAATTAAATAATAATATAAAGAAACCAGAAACATCCAATGGGAACAATGTAATTTACAGGGGCTGCTAGAAATAAAATTACAACTTCATAGACTGATTTACATAAAAGAGATTTTCATAGATTTCCATGGAAAGGTTTTAGATGAACAAAACAGAATATACCTAAATGAATGGTGGCACGGTGGGGATATTTTCCAACACTCAGCAGATTTACTGTCCAATAATACTTTAGAAGAAACCTGTCAAATGTCACTTTATGCCTCCAATGACAGCTACTCTATATCGCGGCATATTCCATAAATGTCTTATCTGTTAATTTCTGCACATTTGTAGGTACATTTAAGTACACAGTTGTGAATATAATTAGTAGTACGGTTTCTATCTATTGTCTATACGTTTTGTATTTGCTCCTACTTAACCTGATTATCCAGTGTTTGAGTTTTGCACTTCCTTTTCTTTCAGGAATTATGAATGAACAGATAAATACAGAACTTATACATATCATTAGTAGTGCTTTCATACAACTCCTTATCTGCATACTTATGCAGGTCAGTGACTAAGCGCTGTGTTTTACCGTGTGAATAGTGTCTCTTTCATTTAAAGAATGACTAGCAATCTGTTAAATACACAGATGAAATACATATAACTAGGGATGCCCTGAAACATATTTGCCAAAAATTGCACTTTTGGCCAAATGCCAAAAGTGCCATCTTTTGGCCGAAATAGCGGTGCATCCGTGCCTTCTCTCCTCCCTGCTGGGTGCTCCTCCGTGTCCCAGGGGGAGGAGAGAAACTGTCACAGGAGTCCGAGCGGTGCGGGGGAGGGGAGCAATGTGATCAGCCAGTGTCTCTCCTCCCGCACTGCTCAGACTCCTGTGACAGATTAGGAAACCGATGTGGGGGCGGAGACAGCTGTCATTGCTATCACAGGGGGCTGAGCTCTCCTCCCGCACCACCCCCACTCAGCCTCCTGTGACAGATCACAGGGAGAGTGGGTACAAGCAGTCAGTGATCGTTGAGTGTTTGTAATAATTGAGAACATAGAATGTTTACTGTGTCCCCAATTATGAATGAATGGGAAGTTCTCTGCATCACTTCCTGTTTATTCATGATTGTGGACATGGTAAACATACTATCTCCACAAGTTATGAATGAACAGATGAACAAGAACACTCAATATAGAGGATTCCTGTTCATTTATAACAGGGGCTGCAGAAAAAGAGATTGAGGACTCTGTGTTCTGAATCCCTTTTTCTGTTTTAAAAGAAAATATCAGGGGTCTGTTTAGATCCCTAATATTTCCTCAGAGCCCCCAACAGTAAAGTAAAAAAATATTTAATAAAAATAAATACAAATATAAAAAATGTAAGTTTATAAAAAATAAAAATAAAATATTTAAAATTTTTGAAAAGGTTAGGAAAAAAAAAAACATTTTTGGTTTTGGTCTGACATTTTTTAAATTACGGTTTCGGTTGAAATAATTTTTCATTACGGTTGAAATTTTCATTTCGGTGTACCTCTACATATAAGTGAGCAGTTTTACCTGCCAAAGGATTTCTACTTCTGTCCATTCAGCTCTAAGATTTACATGGAACTGCCAGCCAGCACAACCAGGTGAATGACCTGACTTTTTTCTACTGCAGTTAAGCAGTACTACTTGGACCCCTCATCATGTTTCTTGTAAATACATGTGCATGTAGCAGAGCCTGACTCGCTTAGAGTGCTGAGCCTCTCTATCAGCCTGCACAAGTGAATTATGTAATGCCAGATTTAAAGACTTGCATTATCTGCATTTCAAAATGAATTTAAAGGAAAACTATGGGGCAACCTTTTTATCCCAGAGTTATGGTAGGACATATACTAACGTTCTCTGGTGACCCAAAACTCAGCATATAGCGAGCTATTACCAGCTATATGCAAGAGCGCTGCAGCCAGGACGGATCCCGACAATGACAGCGGGCTCAGCCTATCTAGAGACAGAGCCAGCTGTGCGCCCCCCCTCCCCGTCCATCCCTCCAGGCTGCGTGGGAAATCGCCATGGGGACTGGTGACTAACAGTCACCGCTCTCTGCAGGGAGAGGATCGGGAATTCAGCGATTGGTGGTATGTGTTCACTGACTTCCCGATCAATAGAGCCAACGTGTGACAGCTTCAGTGTCACAAGTCGGCTTGAATTTTGGGGATGAGTGTTTTTCACTCACCCCATAATTCTCTTTTAGAGTGATCCTTTCCTTTGCCTATGCAGGGCAAAGTAAAAGGGGTCACTTAACAACCCCCTCTCCCATGTAGTACTTTTCCTCCACTCCGTCACCGAGAGTGAGGTAGAACACTTGGTGGTGACTGGTGCTGTGTGATCGGCCTAGTGCTGTCACTTGGGGGGTCAGGAATGGGGTCCATAGCGCTGTAACCTCAGCTATGTTGGTTTAGCGCTAACACAGGGCTTTCAGTTTCAGGGTCAAACAGAGCGGCGCATGAGTGAGAAAAGGTAAGTACATACTGCTGGGAAGGTGGGAATGCTAAGTGACCCTAATTCTTTCCTCTGCATATGCAAAGAAAAGAGTCCATTTGATTACATAGTGTGTTTTAAGTGGTGATTATTTTTTATATTTTATTTTTGTTTACATAGTGCAACATAGTTTTCTCAAATTACCAATATATAATGTCACAAATAAAAAAAAAGATCAGATATTTACAAAGCAAAACTTATCATACACGTGAGGGGAAAAATTTTGGTCAGGCTGATGCCTTCAAATCAGTGCATGTCTTTGTTTAAAAGCACAGAAAAATATTATGTGGACATCCATCTTTTGTTCATTACTGTAAAAGCAAGAGACATAATGGGCAGCAGTGGTGATTTTGTAATATTGGCCTGGACTACAGGGTTAACTGCTTCTTCTGCCCAATTGAATCTGTGGTTGCCATCCACCCCATCCCCATTTTGCACCAACATTGTACCTTCCCTCTCACTAACCCTCTGTTTTAAAACATACTTAATTGCGAGGGCAAATCCTTGGATGACTTCTCCTGCATTTGGCCCAGTAAAATGTAGACCGAGAATTCTCTGCGACGACCCCTTGAGACAAATCATCTGTAGGAAACGCAAAGAGAGCGGATGTTGTAAAGCCCCATTTCACAAACTGCATTGGTTTCTTTTAGGAGCACAAATCCCTCTCTGACACATGCTCCTGATATTAGAACACTCATTTTTTGCCAAGGAATGGTGGTACATATGTTTATAATTCCAATAAACACTATCATTTTGCAAATACACTATTTGTGACTTTGTTCTTAAGTAATATGTATTATGCTCAGTGGAGACTGCTATTTATTTCAGTATTATGGCACTCTTCATAAACTGCTGTATGCCAGCATTCCTACATGACTTATTCTTTCAGATACAACTGTGCATTCTGGGAAAGGACTACACAAATGCACCATAAGATAAGTTCCATTTCAAATCCCACTCAGTACTACAATATACAAATCAGCAGAAGATATATCTCTGTACAATGAATAGAATTACCATAATTACAATAACAGAGAAATCAAACTTCTGTTTTGTTTAAAGAATCGTGAATTTTAGTAAATCTTAGAGAACATTGTAATCAGCACGAATCTGGCTGAATAATGCACAGCAAGACCAAATATTTGTTCTACTGCTAAGATATACTGTAAATTATAAGACTAAAACAAGGCAATGAGTATGGATAGGATCACAACTGTCAGAAATCTTTTATACTTTTCAATAATCAAAGACCTTATAATAAACGTTTGATATATGTTAGCAGATTTATCCAACAGATGTTCTGCCATATGGACATGGATGAAATTGTAAAGCAGAAATGTCATTACCTAAGTTAAATACTGGTACAAGGACTCAAATAACTACAAGGAGATCATCTCTCTAAAAGGGCCCATTTACACCAGCCGCTGCACTAAATCACACAGCAGCTGGTTTGCGGTGCCCAGCAAAGTGCCGATATGCCTATCCTGGCACATCACACTGTATACATCTTTTTTTAGGGATGCACCAATACCGATACTGGAATCGGTGCCGATACCGAGTATTTGGGCGACTACTCGTCCAAATGCTCTGATACTTACCCCTGTTCCCTGAACATCTGGTCAGAGGGAGATTTCCTCTGACCGTGCAGTGCCACGAGGGAACATGGATCCGGCTTCCCAGCCAATCAGGAAGCTGGCAGGTGGGTAATGACTCGCCACCTGGCTTCCTGATCGGTCAGGAAGCCAGCTCCATGCTGATTGGCCAGGAAGCTGGCTTCCCAGCCAATCAGCACCAAGCTGGCCTCCCAGGCAACCAAGAAGCCAGGTGGCAGATAAGAACACGCCGCCCGACTTCCTGATTGGCCGGGAAGCCGGCTCCATGCTAGCGGAAGTACCGGTATCGGTGCTTGGTATCAGCGAGTACCGAAAGATAAATATCGGTACTCAATACAGAAAAAACGGTATCGGTGCATCCCTATTTTTTTTAATTCGGTTTAATGGGCACAGCAGGGTGCAAGGCGGTTGTACTGCTCCGTATTCAGCTGCGCAGAAAAAAAAAGTGCTGCATGCTGCACCGCAACGCAATGGTGTGAATAGTGTCTATCTGTAACAAGGCAAATTGCCTTGTCTTGTGTTGGGGCTGCACTGGAAAAAATGGCCAGCGCAACCCCAACACGTCTGGTGTGAATGGGTCCTTAGTGAGAAGCTGGTTACAGATATCAGAGAATGGTTAGATGTCCAAACATAAACTGATTATCTCACAATGTCTCCCAGCACAGCTATGACACTGAACGGGAATACTTGGGTTCCACCTTAATTGACTCCTGTAAAAAACTGGCCCTAGCAAGATTTTCTACTGAGCGCATCAAATATGGCTGCCTCACCGCCTATCTCCCTCAACACCAAAATTCCTGTTATGGTTATAGAGGAGGAAACAGCAGGATCAGTTTCACAGGCAATAGACTGTCCCGTCAATGGCTTTCCTCAAGCAATATAAAAACTGCCCAATGGCTATCTTCTCTGAGCAAATGAAGGATGGAGGCTGCCCAGACATAGAAGAAAAATATGGGCTTCTTAATTTAGGTGATAAATTAAAACTATAGCTGCCTTTAGATTAGATTGAATGCATAATGGTAATGTATGATAAATTATGTCAGGAAAAGACCAACAATGTGATAATGAACATGGCCAGTTCGAAAAATAAACTGTCCATTTTAAATTTTAGAATAAAAATACCTGTCAGCCACAAATGTTAGATGACCGATATATAAAACTACTGATTTGGGCAAAAATCTACCAACAAAGCCATGTTTAAGGCTGGCCATTTTACCACAGAAGATGTTTCCATTTAAAGACCTGCACAAAAATAGCCATGTCTGGATTGCCCTAGTGTGACCAACTGTAGCCTCACCTTAATATAACACTGAGAAGCATCTCTGCCAGCCACTGTGAATTCCAGAGGTTTGTAGAATGCATGGAAGACCTGAGGAAAAAAGTATTGATACAACATACATAATCAGTCAAAGGCTGACAAAACATAATGTGGAATATAAACAATTCACGATATACATAGAAATAATACTTTTTCTTATACATATAGGCTAATACCATGCAACTGAAAACAACACACAGTGCACAAATTACACTAACCCTAGTTAGCTATTAGACCCCTATATAGGGTGTAGTAACTAATTTGTCAAGAGCTTATTACAGTATATACATAATATTAAAAATATTAAACATGAAGGTAGTATAGTGTAGATGTATAGTTCTCACCTTCTGTGCATTATTATATGAAAGAATGACCACGTATAAAAGCTGGGGACAAAACACAGCACTAGGTCCATAGAGGCCAGGAGATTTTCACTTGACAGCGGTACAGGGCTAGATTTGGCTATTTTGCAGAACATGCTGAGTCCTTGGCAGTGCTGCACATTTCATAGAACATTTCTTTCCTTTTCTAGCCTAACAGCCTTAATACAATGGGTGATACACCCACAACATTCACAATAACACACTGCCAACTGTTAGTTACAAAAACAGTGATCAATTACATAGTGCTCATGTGCTCTAGAAAGTCTTCGATAATAAATGCACAACAAACATGGATTCAAAACCAAGCCACAAATATGTCAAATGTTCTGCACAAAATAAATCAATTTTGTGACTGGTATTAGTAGCTCAGTAGGAATAAATAATATTTTCTTTAGGTTTATTTGTCCCTAAAGTTCATATATTTTAAAACTATAAACATACATTTAGAAAAGAATCATAAGAGGTTAAAAAAAAGTTATTCAGAGAAAGACCAGTTTTCTAGTAACGGAACAGAGAAATGACTAAGAAAATAAAAATGCTCCTTTAAATTGAGCAGCGACTACATTCCTATGATGAAAACTGATAAAACAATATTAGAACTATCGACGCTGGTTAGGTACAAAAGAAGCTCATCACTCCTCACTTCACCGAAAATCCAGAACATGAAAACCACATTAGATGTTCTTTGTACTTTGAAGGCAACTCCAAAGTGATCAAGCAATTTCTGGTTCATTGACAAAATAGGATTCTGCAAGAATTAGCCTGTGGATAGTCAAGAGTGCAATGCTGCTACAGGCAGCATAATTCCCCACCAACCTTTCACTTAACATTTTATACTGTGTCCTCAACATTTTGCCTGGGGTCCCAGGCTGATCTGGTTAGTCTCATCTTGGTTGTCTAGAGAAAAAAAAAATGTCACAGAACCCCTGCAGCAATCGCTCAGTCACAGGCCGTATCCATGTGTCAATCAACCAGTTGAAAGAGGAAGGGGGGCTGGAAAGATGACAGTTTTGTCATATGTAACCTTGCAGGTGGTGTTAACTCACTTAAAGATTAATGAGCGATTCATAACATAAGTGGAAAAAATGATAATAGCAGTAGTGGCAGCATTCATCCCTGTAAATGCAGTCAGCTGCTGAATCCTGGGACATTTATCCTCAACATCTGCTGTGATACATCGCAAGATAGAATTTCAGGGCAGATGAGCACTGCTGATGTCTTTTTACGCACAGAATAACTGATTACAATGCCAGGAAATAGCATATCTAAATGTGCCATTCTCTACTCAGATGAAAGTAGAGCTAGCTCTATGCCAATCAGAAATAATGACAACGATGGGCTGTTAGGCTTCAGCTATACAAATAGCATTTTTGACTGAGAAATTGCAAGATTAAAATCTTTTGAGAAGGAACATATTTCACCTGCCTCTGTGATTGATGTTAAAGGGAATATTCAGTTTGTTCAAGTAATTTGAGATATATGTTTAGAGAGATCAGCTTGATGAAAAGTATCATATCAATAAAACTTCTCATGTATAATTTGAATTTATATTTCAAACTCTGGCTTTGCCTGTTTTGCAATGCTACACATGGCTGTGCTATACTGCTCTTTCTTAAGGCAAGTCAAGGAGTTGGCTGAAAACTATGTGTGGATGATATCTTATCTGAAAAGCCATTAATTAGGAAGCATACTAATAACACCAAAACTACTTAAGGCTGGCAACAGACAAATTAAACTTCTTTGATTCCTGCTGATTGGCTGAAATTTGAGTGGTGGGAGGCCCTGCAAGCACCTCCCAAACAATTAACTCAGCCTGGTGGAAAAAACTTGCTGAACATTGACTGCATCCTATCAGATGCAGTCACTGTTTGAGTGCTCAGACAGTCACGGGTGGAGCAGCTACTGACTACAATAGCCAACAAAGGAGATTCCCCTACTGCTTGCTGTTTATTTGTGAATGGAAGAATCCATTGATTTTCTCTCATTCAGCCCACAGGGTGAAAAAGTGAGAATCAAGCCATGTATGGCTAGCATAGGTGGTTAACCACTTCAGTCCCGGCATGGCCTTCATTACCAGGCCATTTTTTAGTTTTCAGCACTTTACACGTTTGGTTGAGAATTTCTCTATCATGCAACACTAGAACAAAATAATTTGATATCTTTTTTTGAGACAAATAGAGCTTTCTTTCAGTTGTATTTAATAACCACTTTTTATTTTTTACTATAGAAAGTAAAAAAGACCTCCAAAAATTTGAAAAAAAGACAGTTTCTCTTACTTTTGTTTATAAATCATAGCAAATAAAAATGTCAGGTCAGTAGGAAAATCCCTGAAATGACCCCTTTTTGGAAAGAAGACACTCCAAGGTGATCTGATTTTTTTGCCGCAATTTTTTGGAAATTAATATGCCAGCATTGTGGGGGTTAATACATGGAGCTTGGTAATAGTGCACCAGATACAATAAATGTACAGGTCATAGACAGAGGGAGGAGGGGGTGAAGGGGTCAATGTGTAGGTCACATACAGTGGGAGGATGGCGGTGAAGGGATTAGAGCAGGGGTAGCCAAACTCCGGCCCTCCAGCTGTGGTGGAACTACAAATCCCATGAGGCATTGCAAGATTCTCACAGCCACGACTCCCGCAGAGAGATGCATCATGGGATTTGTAGTTTCACCACAGCTGGAGGGCCAGAGTTTGGCTACCCCTGGATTAGAGTATATATGTGCAGGAGAAGGGTGGTGAAAGGGTGATATACAGGTCAGCACATAGACATAATGGATCGAACATAGGAAGCAGAGGTGGGGTTTTAACATTATTTAATACTTTTTATTTATTTATTTTTGGCTACTACACTAGTGTGTCATGAATGGATGACTCTGATGTAAGAGGAAGGGGAGGGCTTGGCAATGTAAACATTGCCATGTGATCGCTGTGATAACCAATCTCAGGACACAGAGCCGGTCCGATCATCTCTGTGTGTAGAGCCGGGGCTCTCCGCTGCATGATGACAGCATAAGCAGTGGTTGCAGTGGCCGCACGCACACCTGGAACAATGCGCCAGTGGACTGGCCATTTTAACACAGTGGCTGGAGTGGCTGGTCCACAGACGGTTAAGCTACAAATCATTGCATAACACATTATTGACATTATAAAGAAAGAAATGTAAAAGCTCTATTGAAAATTACTTTAAGTAAACACAGTGTTAACTCCATATTTCTGATTACCTAAAGTGTATGTAAAGCTAAAACCTTTACTGACCCGTCAGGTTTTCACTGCAGTCTGTATCCCTGCTAGGGAATAGTCACCATCACTTGTTGACCACTCTCTTGGATACAGAAAGTAATGAGAAATACAAAATGTTTGAATTGTCACAGAAACAGGTTAGGCCTAATTCACGCAGGGTGTGTTGCCTCGTACAGCATCCATCATGTATGCATCCTTCTGAGTGCGGCTTTCAAAACTCGAAGATGTGGGAGGCAGCATGAGGGCGAACAACTCGTGCATTGCCATGGGCTTACATGAGCTGCCTGCACACTTCTTCCCCTCATACTGTATGGGGCAACACGTCCCGTGTGAATGAGGTCTAAATCTTCCAATAGGCTAACCTGTTCCTATGTAGAAGAGACTTCCTCACCTTGGAGAGCTCTGCTCATACTTCCCGCTGTGTCTCTAAGACAGGAAGTATGAGCAGGATACAGACAAGTAAAAAAAAAAAAAAAAAATCTGGAGAAAACCAAGATAAATGGATGGGCAAATGCAGGTGCATCTAATCTGCTCCAAGCTGCTTTTGAATTTCTATAGAGAATGGGGTGAAAAGTAGTTCTGACGTGAACAAAGCCCTATCAACAGAGACCCTAAAGTGTATGTTAACCCCAACAATAAACATCTCTTATCTGTTCCTTTTTGGTTTGTTATACCATTCAAAGCATTTTGTTATATCTGTTTGAGAATTAACTGTAAAATACCAGTTGATCCTGCTAGAAAATGCAGTGCAAGATCACCAGGTGAAAAAAAAACCTTAAAAAAGAAAACGAATGTAGCCACCACATCTAAAGACTGGTTAGCTGCATTTAATGATTTTTTTGTTTTGGGGTTTAAATTAACTTTAAAAGCGTTTTAGAAGCTAAGGTTACCTAACCCAACATGTTACAACACTAGAAATGTTAGAATTATACCTCAATAGCATCCTCTCCATATGATGCTAAGGCCTCCTCCTCAGAGAGCCCTACACAACCATATTCTAGTGGAGTGAACACTGTAGTGGGAACCTGCAAAAACAAAGCATAGGGAAAAGGCCATTCAGCTGAAACTGGAACATGACATGGTTAAATAGCAGCTCACAAGTCCTCTATAAATCATACAGAAGTATTTATAGTAAAACTCACAGAATACCACAGACACATGCAGTACGCTAATTTTCCAGTAGGATGCACATACACATACAGCAATTGTTTTCAAAACATGTGTAGAAGAGGTAAATGACACAAAGCCACTTACGCTGTCATAATCCATCAATTCTGTAGAGTTACCAAATAATCGCCGTGCCAAAAGTTTTCCAGCTGCGATGGCTGTAGGTGTCAGCTCTGGGCGACCCTAATGCAAGAATGTGGAAAATCTTCACAAGTGTTCTTTCAAAATAAAAGGCAGATCTGTCAGATTTGATTTCCAAACAATGTTATCTGCTAGGGTACATGGCAGCAACACAATACATACTGTATGTATAAACACTACCCAGATTGTCCTGCTATGTACAAAATGTGGTACAGAATCATTCTAAAGGCGCCCTAAATTCTTCCTATTTCTCATCTACACTGCTGGCATCCATTAGAGCAGAAGGAAACAGACATGGCATCCTGGCATTCAGGCAACATGAAGATTGAAGCAGCAGATAAAGCTTGGGTTTTCTGTTCAGAGCTAATAGTAAAGCAAACATCCTTCTAGATACTGCTGCCTTTCAAAAGACAATAGAAAAGCCACATCTGTGTTGTTTGACCATCTCTTTTGGGTTGTTCACACTCTGACAGCATGTCTAAGGGATCATTGCGTCTCCTGGTGCTGATCTGCTCTGCTATTGACTGCACTGCATCCTGAGGGAATATGTATTAGATCCTGAGGGAGTTAGAATGTTGGTAACTTAGAATGTATTAGTCCATTCACTACAGCGAGGTCCATGACAGAAAGTAAAATATTGTCTTTTGACAGTAGAATCAATTGTTTATGGAACCCCCAGCCTTTAGTATTTAGAAAGAAACCTATACAAAATAAACTATACATATAATAAACAGGCATGATAGTTACGCTGCCAGCCTAAAATAAGCTGAAATTGCCACGTGGGACAAATACCTAATTCAGTTAAATCCTACCTATGTGTGGACAAAAAGCCAAATACTCTAAATCTAATTGCATATATGGTTGCATGGTAGCGGTACAACAGCAAACTAAAGGATCATTATCATGTATGGTGATTGTTCTAAGGCCAGTTTGGAGTAGATATTGATCATGCGAAAACTAAAAAATAGTATTTATACCGGCAAAAGTTTTATCTGAAATTAAAGGTCTTTCAGACAGTAAACACCTTGGCACATATTATTACATGCAGACAGCATATAAAAGGCACTGCAGAATGGGTTATGTGGCAGTTTTCAGGAACAGATTCAATATATACCATTCAAGCTTACACAGACCACCATTTTGAGATAAGTGAAAGCTGTTAGTGGTATTACCATGTACACACAAGAGTAATCCACCAACATGAATGGCATGACTAGGCCTAAAACCTGGGAATGGGTGGTTTACCTCCGAAATGTCTCCGATTGCAAATATGTTTGGAACAGACGTGGCTTCCAAAGCATCAACAATTATCTTTCCTGTTTCAGGCTTGATATTCACTCCAACCTTCTCCAAATGCAGATGCTTAGTTTCAGGAGCACGACCTAAAACAAGGAACATAGGTAATAAATGTGAGTCAAACAACAGATTCTTTGCAAAAATGTATTAAATGGATCAGAAAATGCAGAAGAAAATCTGTGCCACTTCTTGAAAAAGATATGTATTTCTTTTATTCACCTCACTACAAACTGCAATATTTCGTACTGAAGTTGCTAGAGTCTTTGGGGCCAATGTCAACACTATGAGAGGAATGTATCAAAACTGGAGCAGCTGTGCATGGCAACTAATCAGCTTCTCTCTTTCATTTTCAAATCTTAACTGAACAAAATGAAGAGAGAAGCTGATTGGTTGCCATGCAAAGCTGCTCCAGTTTACCCTGCTCAGTTTTGATAAATTCCCCTTTATGTGCCTTCATCTTATAACTTAAAATTGTCTATACAACTTTTTATGTCTTTTTGTTCTGCCTATGTTGAACTGTATTGTGCAAAAACTCAAAAGAAATAGATACGTATTTTTGTTAATTAGCTATTATTTTCCAAACTACAAAGTGCTCCAACCCCCAATTAAAAATCATAAGGCCATAATTAACTGATAACTTTCTGGTACTGCCCTTTATCAACTGGAACAAAGTTTATCAAAGTTACTAAAAAGAAGAGTCACAACATGCGACTATGCGTGGACAACATATTATTCAGAGGTTTGCTACTGCATTTATACCAGGCAGCTCAATTTCCATACAGGCCAATAATGTATAAGCTTAATTTGTCTTCTGCTCTGGTTTTCTCTGCTTTCTAAAAAAAAAAAGACTGCTGAATCCACTCAGTACAAACGGGTTCTTCAGAAGTACCTGCACTCCATGCACATTAAGTAAACTGACTGCATGATTTGATTTCAGATTCAGAGGCACTTGCAAACAAAAAAATAAAATAATTAAAGTTGCATACTGCAAGGCTGTCATCCTGATTCTTTCTTCACCCAAGCGAGTCACTGACCTTGAACACATACATACATGTACATATCAGGGGTCCCCACACATAACATTCCCATGCCTGTTCCAGGTCAGTGTCTAAGAAGAAGGATGGTGGCCCCTATTATCCTGAAAAATTCCCTTTGTGGTAATTTGAAAATGTATACACTTTAATATGGATCTTACATGATCATTGGCACATCCCGCTGATGTCAGACCTCCCAAGCAGATGCTGTTTTTGACAGAGCTATACCAATAGATTATTGCTCCCAATTAGCTCTTTCAGTGTATGCTGTACACACAGAAGAGAAAACACGTAGCATAAAAAACATGCCTTTTCTATATGTATGCCTGGATAAAGGAATGCTTGGTGCTCAAATTATTGGTTAATATCCAAGTGCAGCCTTATTTCTATGGCCATGTATAAAGAGAGTTAAAATATCTTGATAAGTTTAATTTTCACAAGTCTGGCATACGCATACATACAAAGACAAAAGACAGAGCCATAGGTACAGTACTTTCTGTATAACAATGGTAAAGAAGGTATGAAAAAAGATTTAAGCCAGCAAACTGTTCTATAAATGAAAAGGCTTGTTATTAAAGAAAAGCACTGGCAATCTGGTAATGTGTAATTAAGGAGGCAAAGTATTTAAACTAGATTAAGTCAATTATAAAAAAGAGGCCTGTTTATTTGCAAACTGCAATGAGATTCAGGGTAGTCTGCCAACAGAGAGGGGAGGATACCCCAGGGATGTGCCCTGAGGATATGAATAGAACAAAACAAGGTAATCTGGTTGGCAAAATGATTAAATAGCTGCATTGTTACTAGTTTCTCTCTTGAGCTTTTTGCCTCCCCAACAGTTTCACAACTATGTGCTTCTTCACCTGAATATCTAACATACTCCGGATATTCTTTCAAAGTGGAGACAAGGAAAAAAGAATATTTACTTGGCAGAAAAATAAGTCCTTTGATGTACGGGCCAGGCAGATTTGGAGCAAACAAGTGGAAAAACATGGCATGTCAAAGCTGACCGAAATACATCAATAACATAAAAAAATATTCCATAATTTCCTACATCTGCTAGGAATGCAGAGACTCTCACACCTTCCTTCTTCCCACTGAACATAACAATGCCACCTCTGCATGCCTTGCTACATACTCCTGCATATACATTTCATCTGCTAAAACCAACACTTCCTCTGGGAGCTCTGACTCAAGTTGTCGGCACTTGGTTATCTGTCTGTCTTTCCTCCTGTCATCCCCAAGGGATGGAGATCTGCTGTTCCCCCTCTGCCCGTTGTTCTCCAGGCTGATGCTATCAAACAGCAAAAATAATAAACCTCCAGGACCTTATCTTGGCTCGGATGTGAAACAACTTCCTACCGTTGTAGCTCTTTGTGTATTGAGAGTTTAGGTCTAGATGTTCTGCAAATGGATAGTTAATGGGGTTTCCCTGCTTCCCTCTTTTCCTGCTTTGTATGAAGCCAAAAGCCAGCTTAGCACGCAAAGGGCAGGGATGAACTCCATTCAGAGCATAACTACCAAGCCCAGTTTGCTTTGACAAAAACAACAGCTGAGGTTATCAAAGCCACAGCACTTTAAGGTTTTCCGATTTACTGTCTCCACCTGTGAGCAGTCTGCTTTAATTGCAAGGAAACCACATGAAAAACACATTCGCCAACATTACTCTGTGAGCGCACTCTGCCTTCAGAAGCCATTCTCATGGACATATCAAAGTGCAATTAAAACATTACACTAATACTGGATTTTAACTGGCAGTCAGCCATTCTAGCTCAAGTTCCTCAACTAGGATTACATTTGGCAATCAGATTTTGTATCAGATTTGTTAGCATTTGGTAAATGAGACCCCAAAGCCGTAAGTCAAGTTGTTAAAGTTTTAAAATGCTCCAACATTTTCACATGCAACCCTAATCCCCCGACTCCTCAGTCTGGCTTTTCTTCCACCTCCTGTAAATCAATTTTTCCCCAAGATCTAGAGGTCCAGTCTCTGTAAATTTGTGGAGCCGACGCCAGAAAACCACTTGGCTCTTTCAGACAAGTTTAATATATAGTTTTCTCATTTCTAAACCCCTTCGGTGCTGTGGGTGTGGAATGGTTTGCTGCTCATTTTCCAGAGAGCACAATCCTGAGAGATAGAAATATGGAACCAATATTAAAACCTAACAATAAGATCAGGATCACTTGAAAAGAAAGAAAATCAACACAGATGCTTTAGATCACGCCATCATTTATAATGTCAGAGCTGCACACTCAAAAACGAATGATTATGTATATCTTCCAGAACTAATGAAAGTGATTTGATTCAGTTAAAAATTGTTCTAATAGATTTGAAAACCAGCCAAACAGCTAAATACACTTTTGAACTACATATATTGTATGTGAACTGTTTTACCCACCATTTGTATTTCTTGCCTTACCATACAACCACAATGTTCAAAACTTCAAACGCAAACAGTGTAAGTACCTAAATCAACCCCTTACAGTCCATGTACAGCAGAGCTCACAGAGGGGGAGGGAGAGGCAGTACAAGAAGCCAATCAGGCAAGAATCATGTTTATAAGAAAGAGCAGATTGACAGAGAGATGAGTACATTAGTGTGCTGCTTCTTTTTACTTTCCAGCCAAAAGGTGGGAGTAGGAAGGAAATGCAACTGTAGTATGGAATGTTCAGGTCCCCTTCCTTGCCAGGCAGGACTGTTTGGCATAGCCGTGTAAATCTCATGACAGGATGGACAGAAATACAAATCCTGTAGGAGGTGAAACAGCTACAATATATTAATTTCATTTGTGCATTAAGCATTTTGATTGCAATTTAGCTATAAAATACATTTTTTTTAAATGTACACATTACTGCTTTTAATAATTTATTTTTATTTACTAGAGGTAATTATATAGCGCCGACAATTTACGCAGCGCTTTTACATAGCGTACAGTCCCTGCCCTCATGGAGCTTACAATATAAGGTCGCTATATCCCATGCATACATAGAGGGCTGATTTAGACAGGAGCCAACTAACCTTTCAGCATGTCTTTGGAATGTGGGAGGAAGCCGAAGTGCCCAGAGGAAACCCACGCAAGCACAGGGAGAGCATGCAAACTCCTTGCAGATAGTGACCTGGTTGGGATTCAAACTAGGATCCCCAGTGCTACAAGGCAGAAGCGCTAACCACTAAGCCACAGTGCTGCCCATCTGCTTGCGCATTTGGCTTTCGAAGATAAATTTATTTTTAAGGGTTAGTTCATACCATAAGCAGTGCGTTCCGGTCAGATTCTGGCCAGAACGCACTGCCTCGCATTGCGGTCGGCTCACTTTTTTGCCAAGCAGGAGGGGGCTTGACGGGCCATTGCAGAGAATGGCACCGTAGCCACGCCCTCCGCCCGCAATGCGATCGCCTGCACAGGATCGCAAGGCACATTGTGCCTGCAGTGTGGTCTGGCGCGGTGCGATCAAAATAGTGCTTGCAGCATTTTGATCGCACCGGACCGCACTGCAGGCACAAAGTGCCTTGCGATCCCGTGCGGACGATCGCATTGAGGCTGTAGGGTGTGGCTACGGTGCCATTCACTTCAATGGCCCGCCACACCCCCTCCTGCCCGGCAAAAAAGTGAGCCGGCCGCAATGAGAGGCAGTGCGTTCCGGCCAGAATCGGACCGGAACGCACTGCTTATGGTGTGAACTAACCCTAAGACTCATCAGCTCTTCCAATTCTGTATATCCAGGTTACCAAGCAACTTTGAAAATACAATATATCTTACATTTGCCCTTTTTATCCCTTTGCAAATTACAGATCCAACTCAGTTTCAAAACGGCATTGGTTTTATTCAGGCTGCCTGCAGTCTGCACTTTAACTGCAAGCCAGTACTGACAACAATAAGAAAGGCATATGTTATACAGTCCTGTCTGATTCAATGTCTATAGCTCCAGGAGCCATAGATGATAGTATGTGCCCTATGCTACACTCATATAATCACTGGAGATCAGATCGAACTCCACTGCAAGTTCACATTTCTTAAGCCTAACCATTTAACATTCTGCAACCCAAAAACCCGTTTGGA